GACGGAGAAGATGGGGAGGACCAACCCAATGCGTCCTCTCCTATGGACACCGGTCGTGGGGGTATCAGTACCCCCACGACGGGTCCATGATAAACAAAAGATCGCCTGCTGCTCGGTTGCGGCGGAACAGGCACAGATCGTTTTTCACCAGCAATCGGTCAAGAGCGGCTCCACACACCTCTCTTGATTCCCTTTTAAGTTCCTTCTACCCTTTTGACGAACACGTCGCCTCCGACCACCGGGGCCTGTGGATCGACTTTGACTTGAACAGTCTCCTCGGCGGACACCAACCTACGAAATCCACCCATGTTCCACGCCGGCTGGTGATGCACAACAAACGGGTGGTCCAACAATATGTCCAATTGGCGGAGCAGGGTTATATGCGGTACAATATTCCGGGTCGTCTCTCTACCCTAGGATTCGATGTTGCCCGACAGCAGGGCGTCATCACCAAATCCCAGGCGGTCAGATTCGATCGGATACACGGCATGGAAGACCCCGTGGAGATTCTCGAGGGCACTCTCCACATCGACATCCACGCCAAACATGTTCGTGACGTGGATGATGGCCTTTCTGTGATCGGTTACCTTGACGATTGGAACGAGAGTCAGGCCCAGCTCCAGACCGCTCTCCAGACCATCGAGATCATTACTGACGAGAAGAACAGTTTGAACCGGGACCTACAGTCTGTTCGTGACGAATTGGAGGCAATGAAGGCCGCCCACGAGACTGCTGCAACTATGACAGAGTTGTCTAAAACTGTTAGGCCTGTTCCGATGCTCACAGTGGACGTCCCTACAGGTCCACCAGGCCAGACACGTGTCAGCACTACTACGCTACTCAGTCCCTTGGGTCATGGCAGTGCTACACCGGCGACGGCTCATGAAACGGACGGAGAAGATGGGGAGGACCAACCCAATGCGTCCTCTCCTATGGACACCGGTCGTGGGGGTATCAGTACCCCCACGACGGGTCCATGATAAACAAAAGATCGCCTGCTGCTCGGTTGCGGCGGAACAGGCACAGATCGTTTTTCACCAGCAATCGGTCAAGAGCGGCTCCACACACCTCTCTTGATTCCCTTTTAAGTTCCTTCTACCCTTTTGACGAACACGTCGCCTCCGACCACCGGGGCCTGTGGATCGACTTTGACTTGAACAGTCTCCTCGGCGGACACCAACCTACGAAATCCACCCATGTTCCACGCCGGCTGGTGATGCACAACAAACGGGTGGTCCAACAATATGTCCAATTGGCGGAGCAGGGTTATATGCGGTACAATATTCCGGGTCGTCTCTCTACCCTAGGATTCGATGTTGCCCGACAGCAGGGCGTCATCACCAAATCCCAGGCGGTCAGATTCGATCGGATACACGGCATGGAAGACCCCGTGGAGATTCTCGAGGGCACTCTCCACATCGACATCCACGCCAAACATGTTCGTGACGTGGATGATGGCCTTTCTGTGATCGGTTACCTTGACGATTGGAACGAGAGTCAGGCCCAGCTCCAGACCGCTCTCCAGACCATCGAGATCATTACTGACGAGAAGAACAGTTTGAACCGGGACCTACAGTCTGTTCGTGACGAATTGGAGGCAATGAAGGCCGCCCACGAGACTGCTGCAACTATGACAGAGTTGTCTAAAACTGTTAGGCCTGTTCCGATGCTCACAGTGGACGTCCCTACAGGTCCACCAGGCCAGACACGTGTCAGCACTACTACGCTACTCAGTCCCTTGGGTCATGGCAGTGCTACACCGGCGACGGCTCATGAAACGGACGGAGAAGATGGGGAGGACCAACCCAATGCGTCCTCTCCTATGGACACCGGTCGTGGGGGTATCAGTACCCCCACGACGGGTCCATGATAAACAAAAGATCGCCTGCTGCTCGGTTGCGGCGGAACAGGCACAGATCGTTTTTCACCAGCAATCGGTCAAGAGCGGCTCCACACACCTCTCTTGATTCCCTTTTAAGTTCCTTCTACCCTTTTGACGAACACGTCGCCTCCGACCACCGGGGCCTGTGGATCGACTTTGACTTGAACAGTCTCCTCGGCGGACACCAACCTACGAAATCCACCCATGTTCCACGCCGGCTGGTGATGCACAACAAACGGGTGGTCCAACAATATGTCCAATTGGCGGAGCAGGGTTATATGCGGTACAATATTCCGGGTCGTCTCTCTACCCTAGGATTCGATGTTGCCCGACAGCAGGGCGTCATCACCAAATCCCAGGCGGTCAGATTCGATCGGATACACGGCATGGAAGACCCCGTGGAGATTCTCGAGGGCACTCTCCACATCGACATCCACGCCAAACATGTTCGTGACGTGGATGATGGCCTTTCTGTGATCGGTTACCTTGACGATTGGAACGAGAGTCAGGCCCAGCTCCAGACCGCTCTCCAGACCATCGAGATCATTACTGACGAGAAGAACAGTTTGAACCGGGACCTACAGTCTGTTCGTGACGAATTGGAGGCAATGAAGGCCGCCCACGAGACTGCTGCAACTATGACAGAGTTGTCTAAAACTGTTAGGCCTGTTCCGATGCTCACAGTGGACGTCCCTACAGGTCCACCAGGCCAGACACGTGTCAGCACTACTACGCTACTCAGTCCCTTGGGTCATGGCAGTGCTACACCGGCGACGGCTCATGAAACGGACGGAGAAGATGGGGAGGACCAACCCAGTGCGTCCTCTCCTATGGACACCGGTCGTGGGGGTATCAGTACCCCCACGACGGGTCCATGATAAACAAAAGATCGCCTGCTGCTCGGTTGCGGCGGAACAGGCACAGATCGTTTATCACCAGCAACC